CAACTTCATAGTGCTTGAACCTTCGTCATATGCATATGCGACCTGTATAAACAAAAGCACAATCTTAAACAATTTTAAACTTATACCAAACAATCAAACTTGCGATGTGAAAATAAATCAAACAATAAACTTTACAAACTTTTATATATAAACTGATTTCATGTTCTCTACATGCTAGTTCGTCTAGATTGTCGAGTATATATGAGTGAATTTCGGAGACTAGTAAATAGTTGTTTAAGTTGTTCGGAAGAAAGTTCTCAGGTATTAACTCAAAGAGTTTAATCAACTACCATTTGTCTCAAGTTTTGGTGGCCTTCGCAAAAATATAAAACTGCCCTCCCAAAAGTATGAGTTAAGAAATTAGTTTCAAATTACTGTTCTTTCTTCACTGCTTTTAAATGTAAAATTAAAAAAAGGTAGGCATAATATAGCTTAACTGAAAAGAAACTCACAATTCACAAGAAACGATGTATAATCAGTGTTGTTCAGGAGTTTTCAGTTTAAACGTAAAAGAGCTCCCAGTTTCAAACAATTAAAACCAAACTAAGCCAATCCAAGATGAGTTTAATCACACTGCCTAATAATCAAACTTAGCTCGATAATGCCCACTTCTAAATCCAGTTTAACAATGCTCGGAGCTTCATCGTACGCGTCTGCGACCTATATAAACCCAAACACAATCCGAAATTAATTTAAAACACACCGCAAAGCAATCAAACTTACGTAGTGAAAATAAATTAGACAATAAACTTAACAATTTTTTTATATAAAATCTGATTTCTGATCCTACCGATGCTTGCCATCTAGATTTTTGAGTAAATATGAGTGAAATTCCGAGACTATGAAAGAGTTGTAAAGTTGTTTGGAAGGAGGTTCTCGGGATCTTTATACTAACTTCAAGAAATCAATTAACTACCAGTTATCATAAGATTTGATGGGCTTTGGAAAAAGTTGGTAGAGACCAGACATAACTACCATTATTCTTTCACAACTGCTTTTAAATGTAAAATTTTAAAAAAGGTAGACATCAAGCCTAACTAGAAAAAACTCATGATTTGTAAGAAACGAAGTATGATCAGTGCTGTTTGGGAAATTCAAAAAGATCATGTAACACATCGGAGTATATATAACACTTTGGTTGGTCCAGCAACAAACAATACAACACAGAAGAATAAGGACTTCAACCTGCAACTAATTACAAAAGTAGTTTAACAAAAACTATTCATTCCTTTAACTTTATCGATAGAATAACCCTCCAGATTGTAGTAATACTACCTCACTTCGAAAAAACTATCCTTGTTAACTTTAGGATTCTGAATATCTAGTTTTCTTATGAATTCTGTTTAGAATAATGTACAAATTTTAGTTAAAAACAATAAATTACAGGGATGATATAACTTTTCATCAAACAAGCTTAAACTCAAGATATAAAAAAAACTAACACTTGCAATAAAGGCTTTCATGTCAATTACTACTAAAGTAAAAATAAAAATCGCAACACTTACTCAGTCTGACAATCACCCACGCCGAAAACCAACTTCAATTTCCTCGTAGCTTTATGCTACGCTTCTTGTGTGTGACCAGTGTGTAAAGCCAAACAAACCCCGAACTGGTTTGTTTAAAAACATGACTGGAAAATAAATCAAACAGTACTGAAAAAAATTGTGTATAAACTGATTTAAAACTCTCTCAACGTTAGCCTGTCGTAGAATGAAAACAAAACAAGGCCAATCTGAGATGATTTTAAACGCACCGCCAATTTATCAAACTTATCATTTCTTCACTAAAATGAAAACCACAACACTAACCTAAGCATGATAACACCCACTCCTAAATGCAACTTCATAGTGCTCGAACCTTCGTCATATGCATATGCGACCTGTATAAACAAAAGCACAATCTTAAACAATTTTCAACTTAGCACCAAACAATCAAACTTGTGCTGTGAAAATAAATCAAACAATAAACTTTACAAACTTTTATATATAAACTGATTTCATATTCTCTACACGCTAGCCCATCTAGAATGTCGAGTATATATGAGTGAATTTCGCAGACTAGTAAATAGTTGTTTAAGTTGTTCGGAAGAAAGTTCTCAGGTATTAACACAAAGAGTTTAATCAACTACCATTTGTCTCAAGTTTGGATTGCCTTCGCAAAAAATATACAACTGCCCTCCCAAAAGTATGAGTTAAGAAATTAGTTTTAAATTATTATTCTTTCTTTACTGCTTTTAAATGAAAAATTTAAAAAAGGTAGGCATAATATAACTTAACTGAAAAGAAACTCAAGATTCACAAGAAACGAAGTATAATCAGTGTTGTTTAGGAGTTTTCAGCTTAAAAGTAAAAGAGCTCCCAGTTTGAAACAATTAAAACCAAACTAAGCCAATCCGAGATGAGTTTAAACACACTGCCAAATAATCAAACTTAGCTCGATAATGCCCACTCCTAAATCCAATTTAACAATGCTCGGAGCTTCATCGTACGCTTCTGCGACCTATATAAACCCAAACATAATCCGAAATTAATTCAAAACACACCGCAAAGCAATCAATTTTATGCAGTGAAAATAAATTAGACAATAAACTTAACAAATTTTTATATAAAATCTGATTTCTGATTCTCCAGATGCTTGGCCATCTCGATTTTTAAGTAAATATGAGTGAAATTCCGAGACTAGGAAAGAGTTGTAAAGTTGTTTGGAAGGAGGTTCTAGGGATCTTTATACTAACTTCAAAAATTCAATGAAGTACCATTTATCTTAAGATTTGATGGGCTTTGGAAAAAGTTGGTAGAGACCAGGCATAACTACCATTATTCTTTCACAACTGCTTTTAAATGTAATATTTTAAAAAAGGTAGACATCAAGCCTAACTAGAAAAAACTCATGATTTGTAAGAAACGAAGTATGATCAGTGCTGTTTAGGGCTTTCAAAAAGAGCATGTAACACATCGGAGTATATATAACACTTTGGTTGGTCTAGCAACAATCAATACAACACAGAAGAATAAGGACTTCAACCTGCAACTAATTACAAAAGTAGTTTAAAAAAAACTATTCATTCCTTTAACTTTATCGATAGAATAACCCTCCTGCTTTAGTAATACTACCTCACTTCGAAAAAACTATCCCTATTAACATTAGGATTCTGAATATCTAGTTTCCTTATGAAATCTGTTTAGAAGATTGTACAAATTTTAGTTAAAAACAATAAATTACAGGGATGATATAACTTTTCATCAAACAAGCTTAAACTCTGAATATAAAAAAAAACTAACACTTGCAATAAAAGCTTTCATGTCAATTACTACTAAAATAAAATTAAAAATCGCAACACTTACTTAGTCTGACAATCACCCACGCCGCCAACCAAAAAATTCTGCATAAACTGATTTTAAACTCTCTCAACGTTAGCCCGTTTGTAAAATGAAAACCAAACAAGGCCAATCTGAGATGATTTTAAATGCACCGCCAATTAATCAAACTTATCATTTCTTCACTAAAATGAAAACCAAACCTTTAACCTAAGCATGATAACACCCACTCCTAAATGCAACTTCATAGTGCTCGAACCTTCGTCATATGCATATGCGACCTGTATAAACAAAAGCACAATCTTAAACAATTTTAAACTTAGCACCAAACAATCAAACTTGCGCTTTTGAAAATAAATCAAACAATAAACTTTTATATATAAACTGATTTCATGTTCTCTACATGCTAGTTCATCTAGATTGTCGAGTATATATGAGTGAATTTCGGAGACTAGTAAATAGTTGTTTAAGTTGTTTGGAAGAAAGTTCTCAGGTATTAACTCAAAGAGTTTAATCAACTACCATTTGTCTCAAGTTTTGGTGGCCTTCGAAAAAAATATACAACTGCCCTCCCAAAAGAATGAGTTAAGAAATTCGTTTTAAATTATTATTCTTTCCTCACTGGTTTTAAATGTAAAATTTAAATAAGGTAGGCATAATATAGCTTAACTGAAAAGAAACTCACGATTCAGAAGAAACGAAGTACGATCAGTGTTGTTTATAGGAGTTTTCAGCTTAAAAGTAAAAGAGCTCCCAGTTTGAAACAATTAAAACCAAACTAAGCCAATCCGAGATGAGTTTAAACACACTGCCAAATAATCAAACTTAGCTCGATAATGCCCACTCCTAAATCCAATTTAACAATGCTCGGAGCTTCATCGTACGCTTCTGCGACCTATATAAACCCAAACATAATCCGAAATTAATTCAAAACACACCGCAAAGCAATCAATTTTACGCAGTGAAAATAAATTAGACAATAAACTTAACAAATTTTTATATAAAATCTGATTTCTGATTCTCCAAAGGCTTGGCCATCTAGATTTTTTAGTAAATATGAGTGAAATTCCAAGACTAGGAAAGAGTTGTAAAGTTGTTTGGAAGGAGGTTCTAGGGATCTTTATACTAACTTCAAAAATTCAATGAAGTACCATTTATTCTTTCACAACTGCTTTTAAATGTAATATTTTAAAAAAGGTAGACATCGAGCCTAACTAGAAAAAACTCATGATTTGTAAGAAACGAAGTATGATCAGTGCTGTTTAGGGCTTTCAAAAAGAGCATGTAACACATCGGAGTATATATAACACTTTGGTTGGTCTAGCAACAAACAATACAACACAGAAGAATAAGGACTTCAACCTGCAACTAATTACAAAAGTAGTTTAACAAAAACTATTCATTCCTTTAACTTTATCGACAGAATAACCCTCCTGCCTGTAGTAATACTACCTCACTTCGAAAAAACTATCCCTATTAACTTTAGGATTCTGAATATCTAGTTTCCTTATGAATTCTGTTTAGAATAATGTACAAATTTTAGTTAAAAACAATAAATTACAGGGATGATATAACTTTTCATCAAACAAGCTTAAACTCAGAATATAAAAAAAAACTAACACTTGCAATAAAAGCTTTCATGTCAATTACTACTAAAATAAAATTAAAAATCGCAACACTTACTTAGTCTGACAATCACCCACGCCGCCAACCAGCTTCAATTTCCTCGAAGCTTGATGGTACGCTTCTTGTGTGTGACCAGTGTGTAAAGCCAAACAAACCCCGAACTGGTTTTTTAAAAAACTTAACAGGGAAAATAAATCAAACAGTATACTTAAAAAAATTGTGTATAAACTGATTTTAAACTCTCTCAACGTTAGCTCGTTCGTAAAATGAAAACCAAACAAGGCCAATCTGAGATGATTTTAAACGCACCGCCATTTAATCAAACTTATCATTTCTTCACTAAAATGAAAACCACAACTTTAACCTAAGCATGATAACACCCACTCCTAAATGCAACTTCATAGTGCTTGAACCTTCGTCATATGCATATGCGACCTGTATAAACAAAAGCACAATCTTAAACAATTTTAAACTTAGCACCAAACAATCAAACTTGCGATGTGAAAATAAATCAAACAATAAACTTTACAAACTTTTATATATAAACTGATTTCATGTTCTCTACATGCTAGTTCGTCTAGATTGTCGAGTATATATGAGTGAATTTCGGAGACTAGTAAATAGTTGTTTAAGTTGTTCGGAAGAAAGTTCTCAGGTATTAACTCAAAGAGTTTAATCAACTACCATTTGTCTCAAGTTTTGGTGGCCTTCGCAAAAATATAAAACTGCCCTCCCAAAAGTATGAGTTAAGAAATTAGTTTCAAATTACTGTTCTTTCTTCACTGCTTTTAAATGTAAAATTAAAAAAAGGTAGGCATAATATAGCTTAACTGAAAAGAAACTCACAATTCACAAGAAACGATGTATAATCAGTGTTGTTCAGGAGTTTTCAGTTTAAACGTAAAAGAGCTCCCAGTTTCAAACAATTAAAACCAAACTAAGCCAATCCAAGATGAGTTTAATCACACTGCCTAATAATCAAACTTAGCTCGATAATGCCCACTTCTAAATCCAGTTTAACAATGCTCGGAGCTTCATCGTACGCGTCTGCGACCTATATAAACCCAAACACAATCCGAAATTAATTTAAAACACACCGCAAAGCAATCAAACTTACGTAGTGAAAATAAATTAGACAATAAACTTAACAATTTTTTTATATAAAATCTGATTTCTGATCCTACCGATGCTTGCCATCTAGATTTTTGAGTAAATATGAGTGAAAGTCCGAGACTACGAAAGAGTTGTAAAGTTGTTTGGAAGGAGGTTCTCGGGATCTTTATACTAACTTCAAGAAATCAATTAACTATCAGTTATCATAAGATTTGATGGGCTTTGGAAAAAGTTGGTAGAGACCAGACACAACTACTATTATTCTTTCACAACTGCTTTTAAATGTAAAATTTTATGGGAGCCAACGAAGTATAATCAATGTTGTTTAGGAGTTTTCAGCTTAAAAGTAAAAGAGCTCCCAGTTTGAAACAATTAAAACCAAACTAAGCCAATCCGAGATGAGTTTAAACACACTGCCAAATCATCAAACTTAGCTCAATAATGCCCACTTCTAAATACAGTTTAACAATGCTCAGAGCTTCATCGTACGCGTCTGCGACCTATATAAACCCAAACACAACCCGAAATTAATTTGAAACACACCGCAAAGCAATCAAACTTACGCAGTGAAAATAAATTAGACAATAAACTTAACAATTTTTTATATAAAATCTGATTTCTGATCCTCCAGATGCTTGGCCATCTAGATTTTTGAGTAAATATGAGTGAAATTCCGAGACTACGAAAGAGTTGTAAAGTTGTTTGGAAGAATCTTCTCGGGATCTTTATACTACCTTCAAGAATTCAATTAACTACCAGTTATCTTAAGATTGTATGGGCTTTGGAAAAAGTTGGTAGAGACCAGGCATAACTACCATTATTCTTTCACAACTGCTTTTAAATGTAAAATTTTAGAAAAGGTAGACATCAAGCCCAACTAGAAAAAACTCATGATTTGTAAGAAACGAAGTATGATCGGTGCTGTTTGGGAGTTTCAAAAAGAGCGTATAACACATCGGAGTATATATAACCCTTTGGTTGGTCTAGCAACAAACAATACAACACAGAAGAATAAGGACTTCAACTTGCAACTATTTACAAAAGTAATTTAACAAAAACTATTCATTCCTTTAACTTCATCGATAGAATAACCCTGCTGCTTGTAGTAATACTACCCTATGTAGCATGGAAACTCTTGGGAAAGAGTACGTTTCCCGTTTCGGAAACTCTCGGAAACTCTTTGGAAACTCTCCAAATAAGCGTTTTTTGAGCAAAAGATGACGTTTCCCGTTTCCCGTTTCCTTATGATTTTCACGTTTCCGTGCAACATAGATACTACCTCATAGTGCTTTAACAAAAACGCACCGCCAATTAATCAAACTTATCATTTCTTCACTAAAATGAAAACCACAACTTTAACCTAAGCATGATAACACCCACTCCTAAATGCAACTTCATAGTGCTCGAACCTTCGTCATATGCATATGCGACCTGTATAAACAAAAGCACAATCTTAAACAATTTTAAACTTAGCACCACACAATCAAACTTGCGCTTTGAAAATAAATCAAACAATAAACTTTACAAACTTTTATATATAAACTGATTTCATGTTCTCTACATGCTAGTTCATCTAGATTGTCGAGTATATATGAGTGAATTTCGGAGACTAGTAAATAGTTGTTTAAGTTGTTTGGAAGAAAGTTCTCAGGTATTAACTCAAAGAGTTTAATCAACTACCATTTGTCTCAAGTTTTGGTGGCCTTCGAAAAAAATATACAACTGCCCTCCCAAAAGAATGAGTTAAGAAATTAGTTTTAAATTATTATTCTTTCCTCACTGGTTTTAAATGTAAAATTTAAATAAGGTAGGCATAATATAGCTTAACTGAAAAGAAACTCACGATTCAGAAGAAACGAAGTACGATCAGTGTTGTTTATAGGAGTTTTCAGCTTAAAAATAAAAGAGCTCCCAGTTTGAAACAATTAAAACCAAACTAAGCCAATCCGAGATGAGTTTAAACACACTGCCAAATAATCAAACTTAGCTCGATAATGCCCACTCCTAAATCCAATTTAACAATGCTCGGAGCTTCATCGTACGCTTCTGCGACCTATATAAACCCAAACATAATCCGAAATTAATTCAAAACACACCGCAAAGCTATCAATTTTACGCAGTGAAAATAAATTAGACAATAAACTTAACAAATTTTTATATAAAATCTGATTTCTGATTCTCCAGAGGCTTGGCCATCTAGATTTTTTAGTAAATATGAGTGAAATTCCGAGACTAGGAAAGAGTTGTAAAGTTGTTTGGAAGGAGGTTCTAGGGATCTTTATACTAACTTCAAAAATTCAATGAAGTACCATTTATTCTTTCACATCTGCTTTTAAATGTAATATTTTAAAAAAGGTAGACATCGAGCCTAACTAAAAAAACTCATTAATTGTAAGAAACGAAGTATGATCAGTGCTGTTTAGGGCTTTCAAAAAGAGCATGTAACACATCGGAGTATATATAACACTTTGGTTGGTCTAGCAACAAACAATACAACACAGAAGAATAAGGACTTCAACCTGCAACTAATTACAAAAGTAGTTTAACAAAAACTATTCACTCCTTTAACTTTATCGACAGAATAACCCTCCTGCCTGTAGTCATACTACCTCACTTCGAAAAAACTATCCCTATTAACTTTAGGATTCTGAATATCTAGTTTCCTTATGAATTCTGTTTAGAATAATGTACAAATTTTAGTTAAAAACAATAAATTACAGGGATGATATAACTTTTCATCAAACAAGCTTAAACTCAGAATATAAAAAAAAACTAACACTTGCAATAAAAGCTTTCATGTCAATTACTACTAAAATAAAATTAAAAATCGCAACACTTACTTAGTCTGACAATCACCCACGCCGCCAACCAGCTTCAATTTCCTCGAAGCTTGATGGTGCGCTTCTTGTGTGTGACCAGTGTGTAAAGCCAAACAAACCCCGAACTGGTTTTTTAAAAAACTTAACAGGGAAAATAAATCAAACAGTATACTTAAAAAAATTGTGTATAAACTGATTTTAAACTCTCTCAACGTTAGCCCGTTCGTAAAATGAAAACCAAACAAGGCCAATCTGAGATGATTTTAAACGCACCCCCATTTAATCAAACTTATCATTTCTTCACTAAAATGAAAACCACAACTTTAACCTAAGCATGATAGCACCCACTCCTAAATGCAACTTCATAGTGCTTGAACCTTCGTCATATGCATATGCGACCTGTATAAACAAAAGCACAATCTTAAACAATTTTAAACTTAGCACCAAACAATCAAACTTGCGCTGTGAAAATAAATCAAACAATAAACTTTACAAACTTTTATATATAAACTGATTTCATGTTCTCTACATGCTAGTTCGTCTAGATTGTCGAGTATATATGAGTGAATTTCGGAGACTAGTAAATAGTTCAACTACCATTTGTCTCAAGTTTTGGTGGCCTTCGCAAAAATATAAAACTGCCCTCCCAAAAGTATGAGTTAAGAAATTAGTTTCAAATTACTGTTCTTTCTTCACTGCTTTTAAATGTAAAATTAAAAAAAGGTAGGGATAATATAGCTTAACTGAAAAGAAACTCACGATTCACAAGAAACGATGTATAATCAGTGTTGTTCAGGAGTTTTCAGTTGAAACGTAAAAGAGATCCCAATTTCAAACAATTAAAACCAAACTAAGCCAATCCGAGATGAGTTTAATCACACTGCCTAATAATCAAACTTAGCTCGATAATGCCCACTTCTAAATCCAGTTTAACAATGCTCGGAGCTTCATCGTACGCGTCTGCGACCTATATAAACCCAAACACAATCCGAAATTAATTTAAAACACACTGCAAAGCAATCAAACTTACGTAGTGAAAATAAATTAGACAATAAACTTAACAAATTTTTTATATAAAATCTGATTTCTGATCCTACCGATGCTTGCCATCTAGATTTTTGAGTAAATATGAGTGAAATTCCGAGACTATGAAAGAGTTGTGAAGTTGTTTGGAAGGAGGTTCTCGGGATCTTTATACTAACTTCAAGAAATCAATTAACTACCAGTTATCATAAGATTTGATGGGCTTTGGAAAAAGTTGGTAGAGACCAGACATAACTACCATTATTCTTTCACAACTGCTTTTAAATGTAAAATTTTAAAAAAGGTAGACATCAAGCCTAACTAGAAAAAACTCATGATTTGTAAGAAACGAAGTATGATCAGTGCTGTTTGGGAAATTCAAAAAGTTCATGTAACACATCGGAGTATATATAACACTTTGGTTGGTCTAGCAACAAACAATACAACACAGAAGAATAAGGACTTCAACCTGCAACTAATTACAAAAGTAGTTTAACAAAAACTATTCATTCCTTTAACTTTATCGATAGAATAACCCTCCAGATTGTAGTAATACTACCTTTTTCCATCATTTGCAATGGAGCCAAAGATTCATTATTTTTTGGCTTGAGGTTATGATGGAATAAAGCGAAATGGCTCACTAAACTGTCTGCGCTTCTTTGTTATGGAGCAGTAGTCAGTCCATGCAATTTTGGACGCGATTTTCATTATGGGTCATCCGGAAACAGTCTCTCTGTGCTTTAGAACAGGGGTAAGACTGCGTACATCCGACCCCCCCTTACCCCACCGTAGGTGGGAGCCTTTGCGGCACTGGGGTAAATGAAAATGATGAAATGATTGTAGTAATACTACCTCACTTCGAAAAAACTATCCGTGTTAACTTTAGGATTCTGAATATCTAGTTTTCTTATGAATTCTGTTTAGAATAATGTACAAATTTTAGTTAAAAACAATAAATTACAGGGATGATATAACTTTTCATCAAACAAGCTTAAACTCAAGATATAAAAAAAAACTAACACTTGCAATAAAGGCTTTCATGTCAATTACTACTAAAAAAAAAATCGCAATACTTAATCAGTCTGACAATCACCCACGCCGAAAACCAAATTCAATTTCCTCGTAGCTTTATGCTACGCTTCTTGTGTGTGACCAGTGTGTAAAGCCAAACAAACCCCGAACTGGTTTGTTTAAAAACATGACTGGGAAAATAAATCAAACAGTACTGAAAAAATTGTGTATAAACTGATTTAAAACTCTCTCAACGTTAGCCTGTCGTAGAATGAAAACCAAACAAGGCCAATCTGAGATGATTTTAAACGCACCGCCAATTTATCAAACTTATCATTTCTTCACTAAAATGAAAACCACAGCACTAACCTAAGCATGATAACACCCACTCCTAAATGCAACTTCATAGTGCTCGAACCTTTGTCATATGCATATGCGACCTGTATAAACAAAAGCACAATCTTAAACAATTTTCAACTTAGCACCAAACAATCAAACTTGTGCTGTGAAAATAAATCAAACAATAAACTTTACAAACTTTTATATATAAACTGATTTCATGTTCTCTACACGCTAGCCCATCTAGAATGTCGAGTATATATGAGTGAATTTCGCAGACTAGTAAATAGTTGTTTAAGTTGTTCGGAAGAAAGTTCTTAGGTATTAACACAAAGAGTTTAATCAACTACCATTTGTCTCAAGTTTGGATTGCCTTCGCAAAAAATATACAACTGCCCTCCCAAAAGTATGAGTTAAGAAATTAGTTTTAAATTATTATTCTTTCTTCACTGCTTTTAAATGAAAAATTTAAAAAAGGTAGGCATAATATAACTTAACTGAAAAGAAACTCAAGATTCACAAGAAACGAAGTATAATCAGTGTTGTTTAGGAGTTTTCAGCTTAAAAGTAAAAGAGCTCCCAGTTTGAAACAATTAAAACCAAACTAAGCCAATCCGAGATGAGTTTAAACACATTGCCAAATAATCAAACTTAGCTCGACAATGCCCACTCCTAAATCCAATTTCACAATGCTCGGAGCTTCATCGTACGTTTCTGCGACCTATATAAACCCAAACATAATCCGAAATTAATTCAAAACACACCGCAAAGACATCAATTTTATGCAGTGAAAATAAATTAGACAATAAACTCAAACAATTTTAAACTTAACACCAAACAATCAAACTTGCGCTGTGAAAATAAATCAAACAATAAACTTTACAAACTTTTATATATAAACTGATTTAATGTTCTCTACATGCTAGTTCGTCTAGATTGTCGAGTATATATGAGTGAATTTCGGAGACTAGTAAATATTTGTTTAAGTTGTTCGGAAGAAAGTTCTCAGGTATTAACTCAAAGAGTTTAATCAACTACCATTGGTCTCAAGTTTTGGTGGCCTTCGCAAAAATATAAAACTGCCCTCCCAAAAGTATGAGTTAAGAAATTAGTTTCAAATTACTGTTCTTCCTTCACTGCTTTTAAATGTAAAATTAAAAAAAGGTAGGCATAATATAGCTTAACTGAAAAGAAACTCACGATTCACAAGAAACAAAGTATAATCAGTGTTGTTCAGGAGTTTTCAGTTTAAAAGTAAAAGAGCTCCCAGTTTCAAACAATTAAAACCAAACTAAGTCAATCCGAGATGAGTTTAATCACACTGCCTAATAATCAAACTTAGCTCAATAATGCCCACTTCTAAATCCTGTTTAACAATGCTCGGAGCTTCATCATACGCGTCTGCGACCTATATAAACCCAAACACAATCCGAAATTAATTTAAAACACACCGCAAAGCAATCAAACTGACGTAGTGAAAATAAATTAGACAATAAACTTAACAAATTCTTTATATAAAATCTGATTTCTGATCCTAACGATGCTTGCCATCTAGATTTTTGAGTAAATATGAGTGAAATTCCGAGACTACGAAAGAGTTGTAAAGTTGTTTGGAAGGAGGTTCTCAGGATCTTTATACTATTTCCAAAAATTCAATGAAGTACCATTTATCTTAAGATTTGATGGGCTTTGGAAAAAGTTGGTAGAGACCAGGCATAACTACCATTATTCTTTCACAACTGCTTTTAAATGTATTATTTTAAAAGAGGTAGACATCAAGCCTAACTAGAAAAAACTCATGATTTGTAAGAAACGAAGTATGATCAGTGCTGTTTAGGGCTTTCAAAAAGAGCATGTAACACATCGGAGTATATATAACACTTTGGTTGGTCTAGTAACAAACAATACAACACAGAAGAATAAGGACTTCAACCTGCAACTAATTACAAAAGTAGTTTAACAAAAACTATTCATTCCTTTAACTTTATCGATAGAATAACCCTCCTGCTTGTAGTAATACTACCTCACTTCGAAAAAACTATCCCTATTAACTTTAGGATTCTGAATATCTAGTTTCCTTATGAATTCTGTTTAGAATAATGTACAAATTTTAGTTAAAAACAATAAATTACAGGGATGATATAACTTTTCATCAAACAAGCTTAAACTCAGAATATAAAAAAAAACTAACACTTGCGATAAAAGCTTTCATGTCAATTACTACTAAAATAAAATTAAAAATCGCAACACTTACTTAGTCTGACAATCACCCACGCCGCCAACCAAGCTTGATGCTACGCTTCTTGTGTGTGACCAGTGTGTAAACCCAAACAAACCCCGAACTGGTTTTTTTAAAAACTTAACAGGGAAAATAAATCAAACAGTATACTTAAAAAAATTCTACATAAACTTATTTTATAGGAGTTTTCAGCTTAAAAGTAAGAGCTCCCAGTTTGAAACAATTAAAACCAAACTAAGCCAATCCGAGATGAGTTTAAACACACTACCAAATAATCAAACTTAGCTCGATAATGCCCACTCCTAAATCCAGTTTAACAATGCACGGAGCTTCATCGTACGCGTCTGCGACCTATATAAACCCAAACACAATCCGAAATTATGTTAAAACACACCGCAAAGCTATCAAACTTACGCAGTGAAAATAAATTAGACAATAAACTTAACAAACATTTATATATAAACTGATTTCATGTTCTCTACATGCTAGTTCATCTACATTGTCGAGTATATATAAGTGAATTTCGGAGACTAGTAAATAGTTGTTTAAGTTGTTCAGAAGAAAGTTAATCAACTGCCATTTGTCTCAAGTTTTGGTGGCCTTCGCAAAAATATAAAACTGCCCTCCAAAAAGTATGAGTTAAGAAATTAGTTTCAAAATACTGTTCTTTCTTCACTGCTTTTAAATGTAAAATTTAAAAAAGGTAGGCATAATATAGCTTAACTGAAAAGAAACTCACGATTCACAAGAAACGAAGTATAATCAGTGTTGTTTGGGAGTTTTCAGCTTAAAAGTAAAAGTGCTCCCAGTTTCAAACAATTAAAACCAAACTAAGCCAATCCGAGATGAGTTTAATAACACTGCCTAATAATCAAACTTAGCTCGATAATGTCCACTTCTAAATCCAGTTTAACAATGCTTGGAGCTTCATCGTACGCGTCTGCGACCTATATAAACCCAAACACAATCCGAAATTAATTTAAAACACACCGCAAAGCAATCAAACTCACGCAGTGAAAATAAATTAGACAATAAACTTAACAATTTTTTATATAAAGTCTTATTTCTGATCTTCCAGATGCTTGACCATCTAGATTTATGAGTAAATATGAGTGAGATTCCGAGACTAGGAAAGAGTTGTAAAGTTCTTTGGAAGGAGGTTCTCGGGATCTTTTTACTAATTTCAAGAAATCAATTAACTACCTGTTATCATAAGATTTGATGGGCTTTGGAAAAAGTTGGTAGAGACCAGACATAACTACCATTATTCTTTCACAACTGCTTTTAAATGTAAAATTTTAAAAAAGGTAGACATCAAGCCTAACTAGAAAAAACTCATGATTTGTAAGAAACGAAGTATGATCAGTGCTGTTTGGGAAATTCAAAAAGATCATGTAACACATCGGAGTATATATTACACTTTGGTTGGTCTAGCAACAAACAATACAACACAGAAGAATAAGGACTTCAACCTGCAACTAATTACAAAAGTAGTTTAACAAAAACTATTCATTCCTTTAACTTTATCGATAGAATAACCCTCCAGATTGTAGTAATACTACCTCACTTCGAAAAAACTATCCTTGTTAACTTTAGGATTCTGAATATCTAGTTTTCTTATGAATTCTGTTTAGAATAATGTACAAATTTTAGTTAAAAACAATAAATTACAGGGATGATATAACTTTTCATCAAACAAGCTTAAACTCAAGATATAAAAAAAACTAACACTTGCAATAAAGGCTTTCATGTCAATTACTACTAAAATAAAAATAAAAATCGCAACACTTACTCAGTCTGACAATCACCCACGCCGAAAACCAACTTCAATTTCCTCGTAGCTTTATGCTACGCTTCTTGTGTGTGACCAGTGTGTAAAGCCAAACAAACCCCGAACTGTTTTTTTTTTTAAAACATGACAGGGAAAATAAATCAAACAGTATACTTAAAAAAAATGTGTATAAACTGATTTTAAACTCTCTCAACGTTAGCCTGTCGTAGAATGAAAACCAAACAAGGCCAATCTGAGATGATTTTAAACGCACCGCCAATTTATCAAACTTATCATTTCTTCACTAAAATAAAAACCACAACTTTAACCTAATCATGAAAACACCCACTCCTAAATGCAACTTCATAGTGCTCGAACCTTCGTCATATGCATATGCGACCTGTATAAACAAAAGCACAATCTTAAACAATTTTAAACTTAGCACCAAACAATCAAAATTGCGCTGTGAAAATAAATCAAGCAATAAACTTTACAAACTTTTATATATAAACTGATTTCATGTTCACTACATGCTAGTTCATCTAGATTGTCGAGTATATATGAGTGAATTTCGGAGACTAGTAAATAGTTGTTTAAGTTGTTTGGAAGAAAGTTCTCAGGTATTAACTCAAAGAGTTTAATCAACTACCATTTGTCTCAAGTTTTGGTGGCCTTTGCAAAAAATATACAACTGCCCTCCCAAAAGTATGAGTTAAGAAATTAGTTTTAAATTATTATTCTTTCTTCACTGGTTTTAAATGTAAAATTTAAATAAGGTAGGCATAATATAGCTGAACTGAAAAGAAACTCACAAAAGAAACGAAGTACAATCAGTGTTGTTTATAGGAGTTTTCAGCTTAAAAGTAAAAGAGCTCCCAGTGTAACACCCCCATTTTTCCCTCCCAAAATAATACTTAGAAATAATATATTGATAATAACATTGATTTATTCCTTAAAAATAGATAGAGTTTTGCAGCGGAAATAACAATAATGGAAAAAGGGTGTGTTACCGCCACACCCAGCCCTCAACTTGGCTGGATGTTAAGCCTATCCACAATGAGTTCAACCGAATTAATAACTTAAATTTAAACTTTAATAACATAATTTAAACTAAGTGAAGACTACACTTAATCTTCTAAAGCGCTCTCAAGGCTCGTCAAACATCAAGAGCTTCATATTCATCATTACCTGCACAAATAAAGTGCTGAAAACAAAACAAAGAAAAGGAAACAAAAATTAGCTTTAAAGCTAAGTAAGTACTACCCAACCCCGTAAAATAATCAGGTTTGGCGAAAATAGTTTTTCATATAATACTATATAAAAATACTCACACCACCAAAATTCTTTTAAAATCAAAAACATCATTTATCAACTTTATAATCTCAAATACCCGTATAGTTAAAAATAATACTTATAAGCTCCAAACAATTCACATCTCAAATAAAAGTATCACTCTTCAAAATATAACTTTTGTAGCTAAAAATATATCAATGTCACTCTTAGATTCTTTTAAGATGGGCGAAACTCAAGATTCCTCGAGTCCAATAAATCGTTGTTGTGTACGACTCATCTCGGAATTCCGGCTCCCACCGACCACCAATTGGAAACTGAACTTCACCCTTAAGTGTGCACACCCCCTAAAAGGGATTCCAAGCCCTCCGAGTAGTAAGAAGTCCAAGTAGTTCGGACAACGTCCCCCTACCTCACAATATAATGGGTTAGAAACCCGGGTGATTAGAAACTACTACCGCGGCCACCAAAGAACTTTTAAAGTTCTCAAAAGAAATACCGGGAATCTCCCGCCACCAATATTTACCGGGATTTCTCCCGCCACCAATAATCATCATAAACCTAAACTAAACCCGCGGTATATAGCTCTAACCACCCACACCTCGTGTTTCTCTCGAGATGTCAATAATCATTATAAAAACATTATTCATTCTTGGAAAATCATTTCTCTATACATAGTCTTCCAAAATATCCATTTAATGGATACGTCCACCAAAAATCCACATTCATAAATACTCCAAAATTGTATCACATAAAAATTCACTCCAAAGTCATACTAGAGATTAAATCCCACAATATATCTCCAATATTTCACAAATTCTTAGTCACCCAAAATAGTACACATTTAAAATTCACACTTAATCACATAATGCATAATAAGCATATAATACGAGGAAACAATTTTGGACTGGCAGAGAAACTTACCTTAAGTCCTGATGCTCCTAATTCTCTTCCTCAATTCTGGTCTCTAAATATTCACCTTTTTAATTAAGATGATATAATTAGTCACTTATTTTATTCTTAATAATTTAACCATCATTCGAATTTAGGTTATTAGTTAACCACTTTTATTAATCACCACTTTGTTTTAGAAACCTCTATGAATGTACCTATTACTTAGTTTGGTCCATAAATTATATTTAACTAGTCCGTATAATCCACTATTCCATTTTAATCCAATCTATAAAAAGGTAAACAGTCCATTAATCATCAGTCGAAATAGTTAGTTTATTAATTTGATTAAATAATTAGTCTAGTATGTAACTACTTTTATTTTGTTATGTTATGCTATAATGAAATTAGTATCCGAACTAAAAAGTGACTAGTTAAGTAAATCCAATATGTTGACAACTGAATTTCCTTATTATTACATAGTAATATTATTCCTGCAGGTTATTATTACTATTATTATTATCCGTATTATTATAAGATCATAAAAACCAATAGTAGGATTGTCCAGTTTTCTTATTAACAGTCTACTAATTCATACGGCCTAACTGATTCATTTTCGTCCAATCTAATATCATCAGTATTCCTTTTTATTAATACCGACTGAAAGTGAAAGGCTGGCTCAAACTAGTATTATTATAGGATTAATAACCAGTCCAGTAATTTTAATTAAGGATCCAGTCCGAATACTAATAAAAAGAGGAAAAAAACAGTTCAACATTTGATTCTAATCTACCGGCCCAACACAGTCAGTCCGGCAAAACAGACCCCAACCGTTAGGCTGGGTGGGTCATCTTCTTCGAAAGATCAACGGAAATGGCTAAACGCAGGGGCACAACACGGGGCTTACCTCCACGACGACGGCGAGTGGAACTGCAGCGGTAGTATCTCGGCGACAGTCACTTTCGAAAGCAGCGGCCTAGTCCGGCGACGGAGCAATTACAGCCCTTTCCTTTATCTCCGGCGTGAGGGACAATCCGGCTAACTTCGACGATTTTCTTCCCCTCCGGCAGCGCCCGTTACTCTGTCTCGTTCTCTCCTTCCTCTTTCTTTCTCTCTTTTTCTCACTCACTTTATCTTTCCTTCTTGCGTGCGTGAATCGCGTAATATAGTAGTAAATATAGCAACAGCAGTTTGTGGTTCACCAAAGGTGTTGCAGCGCAGATTATTGAGTCGTAGGATATATATATATATATATATATATATATATATATATATACAATAGCCTTCGCCCATCTGTACGCATTCAGCCGTTTGTAGTTTTTAATTCACTCATTATGATGGATCAGCCCGTTTTTTTTTCTCTCTTCAACAATAGCTATAAGCCTATAACCGCAGCCCGTAGGTATGACTCATACCCATACCGCACGCCATGCATCGTACCAATGATGCCATACATGCATGTATTATGTATGTGATGTGATATGTGTGTGAGGCATGCTTGGACTCCATATTATAAAGTACGTAGTGTGTATTACGTAATACGTTACTTTATTATTTACATAGATTTACATAGATATATATAGATATATACATATATGTGATATGTATATGGACATAGATTTATTGCTATGCACTAACTCATCTTTATTAATTACTTTATGAAGTATTATTTGTTATGTTTATTTTACCAGATAATTTATATCTGATCTATTTTAATCAGATATTTTATATTTGTTTTATTTTTGACAGATAAATTTTATCTATTTTTTTAAGGTGTCACATTCCACCCCTCTTAAAGAATGCTTCGTCCCGAAGCATAAGCTAAGACAAAAGAATTCCTAATGTTTTACTAATGCGGGTGTTATAATTTGTCCCCCCTTAAAAGATGCTTAGTCCCGAAGCTTATACTAAAGTCAAATGACAAAATTCTAAAGTATTACATTCTACCCACCTTAACGAGAGGTTACGTCCTCGTAACAAGAATATTACCTGAGTCGAGATTGTGAGCGTTTGCCTGAGTTTGATTCATCACGTAGATTCGACCTCTATTGGGGTTGTTGTCATTGTTCCCATCACTCCTTTGATTCGGGTTTGCCGGTACGTCCGCCTTCTTGGAATTGCATTCAAAAGCTCGGTGTCCTAGCTTGTCGCAATTGAAACATTTGGTTTGACTTCCGTCACAATTTACGCCTGGGTGATCTCTATTACAACGCTTGCAGTAATAGTGCCTCTCACGATCCCTCCTCTGATTTTGACCTTGGAATCTTCCTCCGCCTTGGTTGTTCTGGCGCTGCTCAGGGCGATCAATCTTGGCCTTCTTCTGTTGCTGCTCCACTTCTGCATTCTTTCGGTCTCTTTTGTGTGCCTCCCTTTCCTTCTGGTGTACCAGGTAGTACTTACCAGCCTTTCTATAAGCCTCATTCAAATTCCGCGGCTCTGCTACCGTCACGAACTTTTGGGCCCCGTAGTTAAGCCCGTTAACAAACCTGCGGGTCATACTGACCTCGGTTGACACCAGGTCCTTGGCAAAACGAGCCAGTTGAACGAACTTCGTGTGGTACTCCTGAACACTCAGGTCACCCTGCTATGCACTAACTCATCTTTATTAATTACTTTATGAAGTATTATTTGTTATGTTTATTTTACCAGATAATTTATATCTGGTCTATTTTAATCAGATATTTTATATTTGTTTTTTTTTTTTGACAGATAAATTTTATCTATTTTTTTAAGGTGTCACACCCAGTTTCAAACAATTAAAACCAAACTAAGCCAATCCGAGATGAGTTTAAACACACTGCCAAATAATCAAACTTAGCTCGATAATGCCCACTGCTAAATCCAATTTAACCATGCTCGGAGCTTCATCGTACGCTTCTGCGACCTATATCAACCCAAACATAATCCGAAATTAATTCAAAACACACCGCAAAGCAATCAATTTTACGCAGTGAAAATAAATTAGACAATAAACTTAACAAATTTTTATATAAAATCTGATTTCTGATTCTCCAGATGCTTGGCCATCTAGATTTTTTAGTAAATATGAGTGAAATTCCGAGACTAGGAAAGAGTTGTAAAGTTGTTTGGAAGGAGGTTCTAGGGATTTTTATACTAACTTCAAAAATTCAATGAAGTACCATTTATCTTAAGATTTGATGGGCTTTGGAAAAAGTTGGTAGAGACCAGGCATAACTACCATTATTCTTTCACAACTGCTTTTAAATGTAATATTTTAAAAAAGGTAGACATCGAGCCTAACTAGAAAAAACTCATGATTTGTAAGAAACGAAGTATGATCAGTGCTGTTTAGGGCTTTCAAAAAGAGCATGTAACACATCGGAGTATATATAACACTTTGGTTGGTCTAGCAACAAACAATACAACACAGAAGAATAAGGACTTCAACCTGCAACTAATTACAAAAGTAGTTTAACAAAAACTATTCATTCCTTTAACTTTATCGAAAGAATAATCCTCCTGCTTGTAGTAATACTACCTCACTTCGAAAAAACTATCCCTATTAACTTTAGGATTCTGAATATCTAGTTTCCTTATGAATTCTGTTTAGAATAATGTACAAATTTTAGTTAAAAACAATAAATTACAGGGATGATATAACTTCTCATCAAACAAGCTTAAACTCAGAATAAAAAAAAAACTAACACTTGCAATAAAAGCTTTCATGTCAATTACTACTAAAATAAAATTAAAAATCGCAACACTTACTTAGTCTGACAATCACCCACGCCGCCAACCAACTTCAATTTCCTCGAAGCTTGATGCTACGCTTCTTGTGTGTGACCAGTGTGTAAACCCAAACAAACCCCGAACTGGTTTTTTTAAAAACTTAAAAGGGAAAATAAATCAAACAATATACTTAAAAAAATTCTGCATAAACTGATTTTAAACTCTCTCAACGTTAGCCCGTTCGTAAAATGAAAACCAAACAAGGCCAATCTGAGATGATTTCAAACGCACCGCCAATTAATCAAACTTATCATTTCTTCACTAAAATGAAAACCACAACTTTAACCTAAGCATGATAACACCCACTCCTAAATGCAACTTCATAGTGCTCGAACCTTCGTCATATGCATATGCGACCTGTATAAACAAAAGCACAATCTTAAACAATTTTAAACTTAGCACCAAACAATCAAACTTGCGCTGTGAAAATAAATCAAACAATAAACTTTACAAACTTTTGTATATAAACTGATTTCATGTTCTCTACATGCTAGTTCATCTACATTGTCGAGTATATATAAGTGAATTTCGGAGACTAGTAAATAGTTGTTTAAGTTGTTCAGAAGAAAGTTAATCAACTGCCATTTGTCTCAAGTTTTGGTGGCCTTCACAAAAATATAAAACTGCCCTCCAAAAAGTATAAGTTAAGAAATTAGTTTCAAAATACTGTTCTTTCTTCACTGCTTTTATATGTAAAATTTATAAAAGGTAGGCATAATATAGCTTAACTGAAAAGAAACTCACGATTTCATGTTCTCTACATGCTAGTTCATCTACATTGTCGAGTATATATAAGTGAATTTCGGAGACTAGTAAATAGTTGTTTAAGTTGTTCAGAAGAAAGTTAATCAACTGCCATTTGTCTCAAGTTTTGGTGGCCTTCGCAAAAATATAAAACTGCCCTCCAAAAAGTATAAGTTAAGAAATTAGTTTCAAAATACTGTTCTTTCTTCACTGCTTTTATATGTAAAATTTATAAAAGGTAGGCATAATATAGCTTAACTGAAAAGAAACTCACGATTCACTGTTGTTTGGGAGTTTTCAGCTTAAAAGTAAAAGTGCTCCCAGTTTCAAACAATTAAAACCAAACTAAGCCAATCCGAGATGAGTTTAATCACACTGCCTAATAATCAAACTTAGCTCGATAATGCCCACTTCTAAATCCAGTTTAACAATGCTCGGAGCTTCATCGTACGCGTCTGCGACCTATATAAACCCAAACACAATCCGAAATTAATTTAAAACACACCGCAAAGCAATCAAACTTACGCAGTGAAAATAAATTAGACAATAAACTTAACAATTTTTTATATAAAATCTCATTTCTGATCCTCCAGATGCTTGGCCATCTAGATTTATGAGTAAATATGAGTGAAATTCCGAGATTAGGAAAGAGTTGTAAAGTTCTTTGGAAGGAGGTTCTCGGGATCTTTATACTAATTTCAAGAAATCAATTAACTACCAGTTATCATAAGATTTGATGGGCTTTGGAAAAAGTTGGTAGAGACCAGACATAACTACCATTATTCTTTCACAACTGCTTTTAATGTAAAATTTTAAATAATGTAGACATCAAGCCTAACTAGAAAAAACTCATGATTTGTAAGAAACGAAGTATGATCAAATAAGAGTTCATAGTATCTATCTTAGAATGGAAATCAAATAAAGCGAAAAGGAGAACGAAAGAAATCGGGAAAACTGCATGCAATCGACAGCCAAAAGAGAGAAGGCAATCGCAGCACACTCTATATCTTACCTCGGGGCCCAGAGTCAATTCCCTCGCCTGAATCTTGAATAGAACTCAGCCCCAAGAATTCATAAATGAGCCTCTCTGCCGCTGTGCAGTTGTTCTTAACATGGCAGCTATTGAGTTATCGTAAGAGAAGTGAATCAATCGTTACGAAGCTATAAATGAGCGGATTTGAATCCAACCGTTGCTGATTGTTCCACATATCTGCGTTCGAAGATGCTAGTACCATTTCCAAAGAAGAATTCGTATCCAAAAAGGTGTACCAATAAATAAATACTAAATAAAAGATGTGTACCAGAATTGCGTTTGAGGGGGTTCTTTGAAAGGGCAAGCATCTTTTTGGGAAATTCAAAAAGATCATGTAACACATCGGAGTATATATAACACTTTGGTTGGTCTAGCAACAAACAATACAACACAGAAGAATAAGGACTTCAACCTGCAACTAATTACAAAAGTAGTTTAACAAAAACTATTCATTCCTTTAACTTTATCGATAGAATAACCCTCCAGATTGTAGTAATACTACCTCACTTCGAAAAAACTATCCTTGTTCACTTTAGGATTCTGAATATCTAGTTTTCTTATGAATTCTGTTTAGAATAATGTACAAATTTTAGTTAAAAACAATAAATTACAGGGATGATATAACTTTTCATCTAACAAGCTTAAACTCAAGATATAAAAAAAACTAACACTTGCAATAAAGGCTTTCATGTCAATTACTACTAAAATAAAAATAAAAATCGCAACACTTACTCAGTCTGACAATCACCCACGCCGAAAACCAACTTCAATTTCCTCGTAGCTTTATGCTACGCTTCTTGTGTGTGACCAGTGTGTAAAGCCAAACAAACCCCGAACTGGTTTGTTTAAAAACATGACTGGGAAAATAAATCAAACAGTACTGAAAAAAATTGTGTATAAACTGATTTAAAACTCTCTCAACGTTAGACTGTCGTAGAATGAAAACCAAACAAGGCCAATCTGAGATGATTTTAAACGCACCGCCAATTTATCAAACTTATCATTTCTTCACTAAAATGAAAACCACAACACTAACCTAAGCATGATAACACCCACTCCTAAATGCAACTTCATAGTGCTCGAACCTTCGTCATATGCATATGCGACCTGTATAAACAAAAGCACAATCTTAAACAATTTTCAACTTAGCACCAAACAATCAAACTTGTGCTGTGAAAATAAATCAAACAATAAACTGTACAAACTTTTATATAAAAACTGATTTCATGTTCTCTACACGCTAGCCCATCTAGAATGTCGAGTATATATGAGTGAATTTCGCAGACTAGTAAATAGTTGTTTAAGTTGTTCGGAAGAAAGTTCTCAGGTATTAACACAAAGAGTTTAATCAACTACCATTTGTCTCAAGTTTGGATTGCCTTCCCAAAAAATATACAACTGCCCTCCCAAAAGTATGAATTAAGAAATTAGTTTAAAATTATTATTCTTTCTTCACTGCTTTTAAATGTAAAATTTAAAAAAGGTAGGCATAATATAACTTAACTGAAAAGACACTCAAGATTCACAAGAAACGGAGTATAATCAGTGTTGTTTAGGAGTTTTCAGCTTAAAAGTAAAAGATCTCCCAGTTTGAAACAATTAAAACCAAACTAAGCCAATCCGAGATGAGTTTAAACACACTGCCAAATAATCAAACTTAGCTCGATAATGCCCACTCCTAAATCCAATTTAACAATGCTCGGAGCTTCATCGTACGCTTCTGCGACCTATATAAACCCAAACATAATCCGAAATTAATTCAAAACACACCGCAAAGAAATCAATTTTACGCAGTGAAAATAAATTAGACAATAAACTTAACAAATTTTTATATAAAATCTGATTTCTGATTCTCCAGATGCTTGGCCATCTAGATTTTTTAGTAAATATGAGTGAAATTCCGATATTAGGAAAGAGTTGTAAAGTTGTTTGGAAGGAGGTTCTAGGGATTTTTATACTAACTTCAAAAATTCAATGAAGTACCATTTATCTTAAGATGTGATAGGCTTTGGAAAAAGTTGGTAGAGACCAGGCATAACTACCATTATTCTTTCACAACTGCTTTTAAATGTAATATTTTAAAAAAGGTAGACATCGAGCCTAACTAGAAAAAACTCATGATTTGTAGTGTAGGTTTGAAGAATTAATCTTCCATGTATTATTGAGCCATCCGGCAATGATATAAATACAAAATTACAGATAAGCTAAGGTTTGTTACAGATCCTAATATTTAGGATCTATCTATTCTTATCTACACTGCGTGTTAATCTAAGAGTTAGAGTCCTAAATCAACTCTACTTCCTATCTATACAGTCCCGGATGTACACATAATAAAATAACATGAATATGCTACATTTTTCTACACTCCCCCTCAAGTTGGTAAGTATATATCATACATTCCCAACTTGCTTATAAGAAACTCAAACACTGGTTTAAACAGCCCCTTTGTAAAGATATCAGCTGTCTTCTCTTTAGTAGATATGAATGGTGTGCATACAATTCCAGCTTCAATCTTCTCTTTGATAAAATGCCTGTCCACCTCAATGTGTTTAGTACGATCATGTAGCACAGGATTGTGAGCAATATTAATGGCTGCTTTATTGTCACAATATAATTTCATAGGTAGGTTCATTTCCATATTCAACTCTGTCATCATTCTCTTGATCCAAAGTAGCTCACAGATTCCATTAGCCATAGATCTAAATTCAGATTCTGCACTACTTCTGGCAACAACATTCTGCTTCTTACTCCTCCAAGTCACCAGATTCCCCCATACATAAGTACAATATCCAGATGTAGACCTTCTATCAATTATTGACCCAGCATAATCTGCATCTGTAAAGGCTTCTACACTTCTATTGTCACTTCTTTTAAAAAATAATCCTTTCCCTGGACAACTTTTCAAATATCTTAGGATCCTGTAGGTAGCATCTAGATGTTCTTGGAATGGATTATGCATGAACTGACTAACCATACTGACTGCAAAGGCAATATCTGGCCTTGTATGTGCCAGATAAATCAACCTTCCCACCAATCTTTGATATTGGTGAATATTAACTGGTACTCCTTCCTTGACATTTCCTAACTTCTGATTAGGGTCAATTGGAGTATCTATTGGTCTGCATGCACTCATACCTGTTTCATGAAGTAGGTCTAGTACATACTTCCTTTGGGATACCACAATTCCCTTCTTTGATCTGGCTATCTCCATGCCAAGAAAATACTTCAATTCTCCCAGGTCTTTGATTTCAAATTCCTGAGCAAGCTTCTTCTTCAGGTCTTCAATCTCTTCACAATAGTTTCCTGTAAGAATTATATCATCCACATAAACAATTAGTACTGCAATTTCTCCCTTAATGGAGAATTTCATGAATAGTGTATGATCTGCTTGGGCTTGTTTGAATCCCTGCTTCTTTATGAACTGAGTAAACCTTTCAAACCAAGCCCTTGGGGACTGTTTAAGCCCATATAAGGCTTTCTCTAGCTTGCACACCTTTGAGCCATATTGTTCCTCAAACCCAGGAGGAGGGCTCATGTATACTTCCTCTTCAAGCTTCCCATTTAGGAAAGCATTCTTCACATCTAACTGTTGAAGAGGCCAGTCTAGGTTGGAAGCTAGAGATAGTAGAATCCTTATAGTATTTAATTTTGCAACTGGTGCAAAAGTTTCTGTATAATCTATGTCATAGGTTTGTGTGTATCCTTTGGCAACCAGTCTGGCCTTATATCTTTCAAGTGTACCATCTGCCTTGAATTTAGGAGTAAACACCCATTTGCATCCAACCCTTGGTTTATTTTTGGGTACCTCTACAGTCTGCCATGTCTGATTCTTTTCAAGGGCATTCATTTCTTCTAAAACAGCCTTCTTCCACTCAGGTATAGATAGGGCTTCCTGTATGGTTAAGGGAATAGAGACACTGGAAAGGCTAGAGGTAAAAGCTGCAAATGATGTAGATAACTGAGAATAGGACAGATAGTTTGAGATAGGGTATTTAACACATGACCTTTTTTCTTTTCTGAGAGCAATGGGTAGATTTAGATCACTGAAATTATTACCTTTGTCATTTTCTGGCATTGAGTCAGATTCATTGACAGTGGCAGGATCAGGGATGTCCTCTATTCTGTGATTTGGAACTTTCCTTTCATAAACCTTGCCAAAAAACTTACTTATCTGCTGTTCATCATCTTTCCTTGTTTCAGAAAAAAGTTTTTCATTTTCTTTTGACTCTTGACTATTTTCTAGTGCATCTAACTGTCTATTATACTGTGCATCTAGATTAATGTCAAGAGGTTCTAGTTTTTCAAGGATATGTGATACATTATTACCATCTTCATTAGGAATCTCCCCCTGAAGATGAGTACCAAAAAAAGGTTGATCTTCTACAAAAACAGTGTTCATAGTTATAAACATCTTTTTTGTTATAGGGTCAAACCATTTATAGCCTTTCTGAGTTGAAGAGAGTCCTAAGAAAACACATTTTTTTCCCTTAGGGTCAAATTTACTTGCAGTTCTGTCAGGATTGGTAATAAAAACTGTGCACCCAAAAATTTTTATGGGAAGAGAGTTAATTAGTCTAGTTTCAGGAAAACAAGTTTGAAGAGTATCAATAGGAGTTTTGAATCCTAGAGTTTTTGATGGCATCCTATTAATTAGAAACAGCTTCTCCCCATAAATATTTTGGAATTTTGGCAGAAAACATTATTGCACGAGTAACTTCAAGTAAATGTCTACTTTTCCTCTCAGCTATTCCATTCTGAGCAGGAGTATTTACACAGGAACTTTGATGAACAATCCCTTTTTCAGCAAAAAAAGTATTTAACTTCTTAGAAAAATACTCAAGTCCATTATCACTTCTCACAATTTTGATATTAGTGTTGAATTGAGTTTGGATCATTGAGTAAAATTGTTTGAACACCTCTTCAATCTCAGATTTTTCTTTAAGTAAAAACACCCATGTGACCCTTGTGTGATCATCTATGATAGTTACAAACCACCTTTTTCCTTTCAGAGTTGAAACTCTAGATGCACCCCAGATATCACTGTGTACAATAGTGAAAGGACTAGTTGGTTTGTAACTATGAGGGATGTAAGAACTCCTATGATGTTTGGCAAGTGCACACATATCACAATGAAATGATGAAGGATTTTTATTAAGAAATAACTTAGGAAACAACATTTTCAAGTAGGAAAAACTTGGGTGACCTAATCTATAGTGCATTAGGTACACTTCATCATTTCAAGGAAAAACAGTTTGCAAACAAGTTTTTTCTTGACCTTGTTTATTCAATTGTGTTCCTTCATCAAAAGTATAGAGGCCATCTTCCTCTCTAGCACTGCCAATCATCTTCCCTGATGCCAGATCCTGAAAAATGCAATAAGAGGGAAAAAATTTTACACAACACTGAAGATCTTTAGTAATTTTGCTAATAGAGATAAGATTGCAGGAAAGTTTAGGAACATGTAAGACTTTGGAAAGGTTAATGGATGAGGAAATTTTAATATTTCCCATCCCTGCTATGGCTGAGAAAGAGCCATCTGCAATTCTAACTTTTTTATCTCCTGCACAAGGTTGATAAGAAGAAAAAAACTTTGGAATATAGGTCATGTGGTCTGTTGCACCTGAGTCAATGACCCAGGTGTTTTTAGTTTTTTCAGAACAAAAATATGATGTTATTTTACCATTCTGGGCAAAAGAACAGGTAGGGTTTTCAGGATTGGAGATTTTCTGGGTAGGTATGAATCTGAGTAGGTACTCTATCTGTTCCTGAGTGAATGGTAGCTGTTTAGGTTCAACTCCTGCCTCTTGTTGAGTCTCAGTCACAGTAGTTTGTAGGGCCCTTTCTACTTTCTTCTTCCCAGCTCCTGGTGGTTTTCCATGGAGTTTCCAGCATGTATCCCTTGTGTGCCACAGTTTCTTGCAGTGATCACACCAAGGTTTTTTCTTGTTGTCATCACTTCTGGCCACCAAAGCTGAAGATTCCCCAAGTTCCTCATTAGGTGCTGGGGTGTTGTACATGACCTTCTTCCTGCTATCCTCCATCCTGATTTCAGAAAATACCTCCCTGATAGAAGGTAGAGGTTTTTTTCCAAGTATCCTCCCCTTAACTTCATCTAGGTCCCTATTGATCCCTGCTAGAAACATATAGACCCTATCATTCTCTTCTTTTTTCTTATGTCTGGCCAGATCCTTAGCACTCTCCCACTCTTCATCATCATAGCATTGATCTAATTCTTGCCACAGAGATACCATTTCATTGTAGTATGAAATAATATCCCTATTTCCTTGTTTAGATTGCCACAATTTGGTTTTGAGTTCAAAAATTTGAGAAGAGTTCTCAAGGTCTGAATAAGTTTCCTTAATAGAATCCCATACCTCCTTTGCAGTTTTCATAAACATATGAGGTTTGGCAATTAGGGGCTCCATGGAGTTGAGAAGCCAAGCTGTTATGAGTGAATTCTCTGACCTCCATGTACTGTACCCTTCTTCTGCTTGTATTTTTGGTTGGATTTCTCCTGTGATGTAACCCAACTTTCCCCTCCCATCAATTGCAAGTCTGACAGATTGAGACCACTCCAGATAGTTTGTTCCATTCAATCTATGACTAGTGATTATCATAGATGAATGAATAGGAGACTGGTAATTTGTCATAGAGCTAATTTGGGAGTTAGGGTTGATAGTGTGTGAGGAATCAGCTTCACTGGTTTCTACCATTGTTTAAACCGAAGCTCTGATACCATGTAGGTTTGAAGAATTAATCTTCCATGCAATATTGAGCCATCCGGCAATGATATAAATACAAAATTACAGATAAGCTAAGGTTTGTTACAGATCCTAATATTTAGGATCTATCTATTCTTATCTACACTGCGTGTTAATCTAAGAGTTAGAGTCCTAAATCAACTCTACTTCCTATCTATACAGTCTCGGATGTACACATAATAAAATAACATGAATATGCTACATTTTTCTACAGTAAGAAACAAAGTATGATCAGTGCTGTTTAGGGCTTTCAAAAAGAGCATGTAACACATCGGAGTATATATAACACTTTGGTTGGTCTACCAACAAACAATACAACACAGAAGAATAAGGACTTCAACCTGCAACTAATTACAAAAGTAGTTTAACAAAAACTATTCATTCCTTTAACTTTATCGATAGAATAACCCTCCTGCTTGTAGTAATACTACCTCACTTCGGAAAAACTATCCCTATTAACTTTAGGATTCTGAATATCTAGTTTCCTTATGAATTCTGTTTGGAATAATGTACAAATTTTAGTTAAAAACAATAAATTACAGGGATGATATAACTATTCATCAAACAAGCTTAAACTCAGAATATAAAAAAAAACTAACACTTGCAATAAAAGCTTTCATGCCAATTACTACTAAAATAAAATTAAAAATCGCAACACTTACTTAGTCTGACAATCACCCACGCCGCCAACCAACTTCAATTTCCTCGAAGCTTGATGCTACGCTTCTTGTGTGTGACCAGTGTGTAAACCCAAACAAACCCCGAACTGGTTTTTTTAAAAACTTAACAGGGAAAATAAATCAAACAGTATACTTAAAAAAATTCTGCATAAACCAAACAAGGCCAATCTGAGATGATTTTAAACGCACCGCAAATTAATCAAACTTATCATTTCTTCACTAAAATGAAAACCGCAACTTTAACCTAAGCATGATAACACCCACTCCTAAATCCAACTTCATAGTGCTCGAACCTTCGTCATATGCATATGCGACCTGTATAAACAAAAGCACAATCTTAAACAATTTTAAACTTAGCACCAAACAATCAAACTTGCGCTGTGAAAATAAATCAAACAATAATCTTTACAAACTTTTATATATAAACTGATTTCATGTTCTCTACATGCTAGTTCATCTACATTGTCGAGTATATATAAGTGAATTTCGGAGACTAGTAAATAGTTGTTTAAGTTGTTCAGAAGAAAGTTAATCAACTGCCATTTGTCTCAAGTTTTGGTGGCCTTCGCAAAAATATAAAACTGCCCTCCAAAAAGTATGAGTTAAGAAATTAGTTTCAAAATACTGTTCTTTCTTCACTGCTTTTATATGTAAAATTTAAAAAAGGTAGGCATAATATAGCTTAACTGAAAAGAAACTCACGATTCACAAGAAACGAAGTATAATCAGTGTTGTTTGGGAGTTTTCAGCTTAAAAGTAAAAGTGCTCCCAGTTTCAAACAATTAAAACCAAACTAAGCCAATCCGAGATGAGTTTAATCACACTGCCTAATAATCAAACTTAGCTCGATAATGCCCACTTCTAAATCCAGTTTAACAATGCACGGAGCTTCATCGTACGCGTCTGCGACCTATATAAACCCAAACACAATCCGAAATTAATTTAAAACACACCGCAAAGCAGTCAAACTTACGCAGTGAAAATAAATTAGACAATAAACTTAACAAATTTTTATATAAAATCTTATTTCTGATCCTCCAGATGCTTGGCCATCTAGATTTATGAGTAAATATGAGTGAAATTCCGAGACTAGGAAAGAGTTGTAAAGTTCTTTGGAAGGAGGTTCTCGGGATCTTTATACTAATTTCAAGAAATCAATTAACTACCAGTTATCATAAGATTTGATGGGCTTTGGAAAAAGTTGGTAGAGACCAGACATAACTACCATTATTCTTTCACAACTGCTTTTAAATGTAAAATTTTAAAAAATGTACACATCAAGCCTAACTAGAAAAAACTCATGATTTGTAAGAAACGAAGTATGATCAGTGCTGTTTGGGAAATTCAAAAAGATCATGTAACACATCGGAGTATATATAACACTTTGGTTGGTCTAGCAACAAACAATACAACACAGAAGAATAAGGACTTCAACCTGCAACTAATTACAAAAGTAGTTTAACAAAAACTATTCATTCCTTTACCTTTATCGATAGAATAACCCTCCTGCTTGTAGTAATACTACCTCACTTCGAAAAAACTATCCCTATTAACATTAGGATTCTGAATATCTAGTTTCCTTATGAATTCTGTTTAGAATAATGTACAAATTTTAGTTAAAAACAATAAATTACAGGGATGATATAACTTTTCATCAAACAAGCTTAAACTCAGAATATAAAAAAAACCAACACTTGCAATAAAAGCTTTCATGTCAATTACTAATCAAATAAAATTAAAAATCGCAACACTTACTCAGTCTGACAATCACCCACGCCGCCAACCAACTTCAATTTCCTCGAAGCTTGATGCTACGCTTCTAGTGTGTGACCAGTGTGTAAACCCAAACAAACCCCGAACTGGTTTTTTTAAAAACTTAACAGGGAAAATAAATCAAACAGTATACTTAAAAAAATTGTGTATAAACTGATTTTAAACTCTCTCAACGTTAGCCCGTTCGTAAAATGAAAACCAAACAAGGCCAATCTGAGATGATTTTAAACGCACTGCCAATTAATCAAACTTATCATTTCTTCACTAAAATGAAAACCACAACTTTAACCTATGCATGAAAACACCCACTCTCCTAAATGCAACTTCATAGTGCTCGAACCTTCGTCATATGCATATGCGACCTGTATAAACAAAAGCACAATCTTAAAAAATTTTAAACTTAGCACCAAACAATCAAACTTGCGCTGTGAAAATAAATCAAACAATAAACTTTACAAACTTTTATATATAAACTGATTTCATGTTCTCTACATGCTAGTTCATCTAGATTGTCGAGTATATATGATTGAATTTCGGAGACTAGTAAATAGTTGTTTAAGTTGTTTGGAAGAAAGTTCTCAGGTATTAACTCATAGAGTTTAATCAACTACCATTTGTCTCAAGTTTTGGTGGCCTTCCCAAAAAATATACAACTGCCCTCCCAAAAGTATGAGTTAAGAAATTAGTTTTAAATTATTATTCTTTCTTCACTGGTTTTAAATGTAAAATTTAAATAAGGTAGGCATAATATAACTTAACTGAAAAGAAACTCACGATTCAGAAGAAACGAAGTACAATCAGTGTTGTTTATAGGAGTTTTCAGCTTAAAAGTAAAAGAGCTCCCAGTTTGAAACAATTAAAACCAAACTAAGCCAATCCGAGATGAGTTTAAACACACTGCCAAATAATCAAACTTAGCTCGATAATGCCCACTCCTAAATCCAATTTAACAATGCTCGGAGCTTCATCGTACGCTTCTGCGACCTATATAAACCCAAACATAATTCGAAATTCATTCAAAACACACCGCAAAGCAATCAATTTTACGCAGTGAAAATAAATTAGACATTAAACTTAACAAATTTTTATATAAAATCTGATTTTTGATTCTCCAGATGCTTGGCCATCTAGATTTTTTAGTAAATATGAGTGAAATTCCGAGACTAGGAAAGAGTTGTAAAGTTGTTCGGAAGGAGGTTCTAGGGATCTTTATACTAACTTCAAAAATTCAATGAAGTACCATTTATCTTAAGATTTGATGGGCTTTGGAAAAAGTTGGTAGAGACCAGGCATAACTACCATTATTCTTTCACAACTGCTTTTAAATGTAATATTTTAAAAAAGGTAGACATCGAGCCTAACTAGAAAAAACTCATGATTTGTAAGAAACGAAGTATGATCAGTGCTGTTTAGGGCTTTCAAAAAGAGCATGTAACACATCGGAGTATATATAACACTTTGGTTGGTCTAGCAACAAACAATACAACACAGAAGAATAAGGACTTCAACCTGCAACTAATTACAAAAGTAGTTTAACAAAAACTATTCATTCCTTTAACTTTATCGATAGAATAACCCTCCTGCTTGTAGTAATACTACCTCACTTCGAAAAAACTATCCCTATTAACTTTAGGATTCTGAATATCTAGTTTCCTTATGAATTCTGTTTAGGATAATGTACAAATTTTAGTGAAAAACAATAAATTACAGGGATGATATAACTTTTCATCAAACAAGCTTAAACTCAGAATATAAAAAAAAACTAACACTTGCAATAAAAGCTTTCATGTCAATTACTACTAAAATAAAATTAAAAATCGCAACACTTACTTAGTCTGACAATCACCCACGCCGCCAACCAACTTCAATTTCCTCGAAGCTTGATGCTACGCTTCTTGTGTGTGACCAGTGTGTAAACCCAAACAAACCCCGAACTGGTTTTTTTAAAAACTTAACAGGGAAAATAAATCAAACAGTATACTTAAAAAAATTCTGCATAAACTGATTTTAAACTCTCTCAACGTTAGCCCGTTCGTAAAATGATAACCAAACAAGGCCAATCTGAGATGATTTTAAACGCACCGCCAATTAATCAAACTTATCATTTCTTCACTAAAATGAAAACCACAACTTTAACCTAAGCATGATAACACCCACTCCTAAATGCAACTTCATAGTGCTCGAACCTTCGTCATATGCATATGCGACATGTATAAACAAAAGCACAATCTTAAACAATTTTAAACATAGCACCAAACAATCAAACTTGCGCTGTGAAAATAAATCAAGCAATAAACTTTACAAACTTTTATATATAAACTGATTTTATGTTCTCTACATGCTAGTTCATCTAGATTGTCGAGTATATATGAGTGAATTTCGGAGACTAGTAAATAGTTGTTTAAGTTGTTTGGAAGAAAGTTCTCAGGTATTAACTCAAAGAGCTTAACCAACTACCATTTGTCTCAAGTTTTGGTGGCCTTCGCAAAAAAAATACAACTGCCCTCCCAAAAGTATGAGTTAAGAAATTAGTTTTAAATTACTGTTCTTTCTTCACTGCTTTGATATGTAAAATTTAAAAAAGGTAGGCATAATATAGCTTAACTGAAAAGAAACTCACGAGTCACAAGAAACGAAGTATAATCAGTGTTGTTTAGGAGTTTTCAGCTTAAAAGTAAAAGAGCTCCCAGTTTGAAACAATTAAAACCAAACTAAGCCAATCCGAGATGAGTTTAATCACACTGCCAAAGAATCAAACTTACCTCGATATTGCCCACTTCTAAATCCAGTTTAACAATGCTCGGAGCTTCATCGTACGCGTCTGCGACCTATATAAACCCAAACACAATCCGAAATTAATTTAAAACCCACCGCAAAGCAATCAAACTTACGCAGTGAAAATAAATTAGACAATAAACTTAACAAATTTTTATATAAAATCTTATTTCTGATCCTCCAGATGCTTGGCCATCTAGATTTATGAGTAAATATGAGTGAAATTCCGAGACTAGGAAAGAGTTGTAAAGTTCTTTGGAAGGAGGTTCTCGGGATCTTTATACTAATTTCAAGACTAGTAAATAGTTGTTTAAGTTGTTCAGAAGAAAGTTAATCAACTGCCATTTGTCTCAAGTTTTGGTGGCCTTCGCAAAAATATAAAACTGCCCTCCCAAAAGTATGAGTTAAGAAATTAGTTTTAAATTATTAATCTTTCTTCACTGGTTTTAAATGTAAAATTTAAATAAGGTAGGCATAATATAGCTTAACTGAAAAGAAACTCACGATTCAGAAGAAACGAAGTACAATCAGTGTTGTTTATAGGAGTTTTCAGCTTAAAAGTAAAAGAGCTCCCAGTTTGAAACAATTAAAACCAAACTAAACCAAACAATTAAACACACTGCCAACTAATCAAACTTAGCTCGATAATGCCCACTCCTAAATCCAATTTAACATTGCTCGGAGCTTCATCGTACGCTTCTGCGACCTATATAAACCCAAACATAATCCGAAATTAATTCAAAACACCGCAAAGCAATCAATTTTACGCAGTGAAAATAAATTAGACATTAAACTTAACAAATTTTTATATAAAATCTGATTTCTGATTCTCCAGATGCTTGGCCATCTAGATTTTTTAGTAAATATGAGTGAAATTCCGAGTCTAGGAAAGAGTTGTAAAGTTGTTTGGAAGGAGGTTCTAGGGATCTTTATACTAACTTCAAAAATTCAATGAAGTACCATTTATCTTAAGATTTGATGGGCTTTGGAAAAAGTTGGTAGAGACCAGGCATAACTACCATTATTCTTTCACAACTGCTTTTAAATGTAATATTTTAAAAAAGGTAGACACCGAGCCTAACTAGAAAAAACTCATGATTTGTAAGAAACGAAGTATGATCAAATAAGAGTTCATAGTATCTATCTGAGAATGGAAATCAAATAAAGCGAAAAGGAGAACGAAAGAAATCGGGAAAACTGCATGCAATCGACAGCCAAAAGAGAGAAGGCAGTCGCAGCACACTCTATATCTTACCTCGGGGCCCAGAGTCAATTCCCTCGCCTGAATCTTGAATAGAACTCAGCCCCAAGAATTCATAAATGAGCCTCTCTGCCGCTGTGCAGTTGTTCTTAACAAGGCAGCTATTGAGTTATCGTAAGAGAAGTGAATCAATCGTTACGAAGCTATAAATGAGCGGATTTGAATCCAACCGTTGCTGATTGTTCCACATATCTGCGTTCGAAGATGCTAGTACCATTTCCAAAGAAGAATTCGTATCCAAAAAGGTGTACCAATAAATAAATACTAAATAAAAGATGTGTACCAGAATTGCGTTTGAGGGGGTTTTGAAAGGGCAAGCATCTTTTTGGGAAATTCAAAAAGATCATGTAACACATCGGAGTATATATAACACTTTGGTTGGTCTAGCAACAAACAATACAACACAGAAGAATAAGGACTTCAACCTGCAACTAATTACAAAAGTAGTTTAACAAAAACTATTCATTCCTTTAACTTTATAGATAGAATAACCCTCCAGATTGTAGTAATACTACCTCACTTCGAAAAAACTATCCTTGTTCACTTTAGGATTCTGAATATCTAGTTTTCTTATGAATTCTGCTTAGAATAATGTACAAATTTTAGTTAAAAACAATAAATTACAGGGATGATATAACTTTTCATTAAACAAGCTTAAACTCAAGATATAAAAAAAACTAACACTTGCAATAAAGGCTTTCATGTCAATTACTACTAAAATAAAAATAAAAATCGCAACACTTACTCAGTCTGACAATCACCCACGCCGAAAACCAACTTCAATTTCCTCGTAGCTTTATGCTACGCTTCTTGTGTGTGACCAGTGTCTAAAGCCAAACAAACCCCGAACTGGTTTGTTTAAAAACATGACTGGGAAAATAAATCAAACAGTACTGAAAAAAATTGTGTATAAACTGATTTTAAACTCTCTCAACGTTAGCCTGTCGTAGAATGAAAACCAAACAAGGCCAATCTGAGATGATTTTAAACGCACCGCCAATTTATCAAACTTATCATTTCTTCACTAAAATGAAAACCACAACACTAACCTAAGCATGATAACACCCACTCCTAAATGCAACTTCATAGTGCTCGAACCTTCGTCATATGCATATGCGACCTGTATAAACAAAAGCACAATCTTAAACAATTTTCAACTTAGCACCAAACAATCAAACTTGTGCTGTGAAAATAAATCAAACAATAAACTTTACAAACTTTTATATATAAACTGATTTCATGTTCTCTACACGCTAGCCCATCTAGAATGTCGAGTATATATGAGTTAATTTCGCAGACTAGTAAATAGTTGTTTAAGTTGTTCGGAAGAAAGTTCTCAGGTATTGTAGAAAAATGTAGCATATTCATGTTATTTTATTATGTGTACATCCGGGACTGTATAGATAGGAAGTAGAGTTGATTTAGGACTCTAACTCTTAGATTAACACGCAGTGTAGATAAGAATAGATAGATCCTAAATATTAGGATCTGTAACAAACCTTAGCTTATCTGTAATTTTGTATTTATATCATTGCCGGATGGCTCAATAATACATGGAAGATTAATTCTTCAAACCTACATGGTATCAGAGCTTCGGTTTAAACAATGGTAGATACCAGTGAAGCTGATTCCTCACACACTACCAACCCTAACTCCCAAATTAGCTCTATGACAAATTACCAGTCTCCTATTCATTCATCTATGATAATCACTAGTCATAGATTGAATGGAACAAACTATCTGGAGTGGTCTCAATCTGTCAGACTTGCAATTGATGGGAGGGGAAAGCTGGGTTACATCACAGGAGAAATCCAACCAAAAATACAAGCAGAAGAAGGGTACAGTACATGGAGGTCAGAGAATTCACTCATAACAGCTTGGCTTCTCAACTCCATGGAGCCCCTAATTGCCAAACCTCATATGTTTATGAAAACTGCAAAGGAGGTATGGGATTCTATTAAGGAAACTTATTCAGACTTTGAGAACTCTTCTCAAATTTTTGAACTCAAAACCAAATTGTGGCAATCTAAACAAGGAAATAGGGATATTATTTCATACTACAATGAAATGGTATCTCTGTGGCAAGAATTAGATCAATGCTATGATGATGAAGAGTGGGAGAGTGCTAAGGATCTGGCCAGACATAAGAAAAAAGAAGAGAATGATAGGGTCTATATGTTTCTAGCAGGGATCAATAGGGACCTAGATGAAGTTAAGGGGAGGATACTTGGAAAAAAACCTCTACCTTCTATCAGGGAGGTATTTTCTGAAATCAGGATGGAGGATAGCAGGAAGAAGGTCATGTACAACACCCCAGCACCTAATGAGGAACCTGGGGAATCTTCAGCTTTGGTGGCCAGAAGTGATGACAACAAGAAAAAACCTTGGTGTGATCACTGCAAGAAACTGTGGCACACAAGGGATACATGCTGAAAACTCCATGGAAAACCACCGGGAGCTGGGAAGAAGAAAGTAGAAAGGGCCCTACAAACTACTGTGACTGAGACTCAACAAGAGGCAGGAGTTGAACCTAAACAGCTACCATTCACTCAGGAACAGATAGAGTACCTACTCAGATTCATACCTACCCAGAAAATCTCCAATCCTGAAAACCCTACCTGTTCTTTTGCCCAGAATGGTAAAATAACATCATATTTTTGTTCTGAAAAAACTAAAAACACCTGGGTCATTGACTCAGGTGCAACAGACCACATGACCTATATTCCAAAGTTTTTTTCTTCTTATCAACCTTGTGCAGGAGATAAAAAAGTTAGAATTGCAGATGGCTCTTTCTCAGCCATAGCAGGGATGGGAAATATTAAAATTTCCTCATCCATTAACCTTTCCAAAGTCTTACATGTTCCTAAACTTTCCTGCAATCTTATCTCTATTAGCAAAATTACTAAAGATCTTCAGTGATGTGTAAAAATTTTTCCCTCTTATTGCATTTTTCAGGATCTGGCATCAGGGAAGATGATTGGCAGTGCTAGAGAGGAAGATGGCCTCTATACTTTTGATGAAGGAACACAATTGAATAAACAAGGTCAAGAAAAAACTTGTTTGCAAACTGTTTTTCCTTGTAATGATGAAGTGTACCTAATGCACTATAGATTAGGTCACCCAAGTTTTTCCTACTTGAAAATGTTGTTTCCTAAGTTATTTCTTAATAAAAATCCTTCATCATTTCATTGTGATATGTGTGCACTTGCCAAACATCATAGGAGTTCTTACATCCCTCATAGTTACAAACCAACTAGTCCTTTCACTATTGTACACAGTGATATCTGGGGTGCATCTAGAGTTTCAACTCTGAAAGGAAAAAGGTGGTTTGTAACTATCATAGATGATCACACAAGGGTCACATGGGTGTTTTTACTTAAAGAAAAATCTGAGATTGAAGAGGTGTTCAAACAATTTTACTCAATGATCCAAACTCAATTCAACACTAATATCAAAATTGTGAGAAGTGATAATGGACTTGAGTATTTTTCTAAGAAGTTAAATACTTTTTTTGCTGAAAAAGGGATTGTTCATCAAAGTTCCTGTGTAAATACTCCTGCTCAGAATGGAATAGCTGAGAGGAAAAATAGACATTTACTTGAAGTTACTCGTGCAATAATGTTTTCTGCCAAAATTCCAAAATATTTATGGGGAGAAGCTGTTTCTAATTAATAGGATGCCATCAAAAACTCTAGGATTCAAAACTCCTATTGATACTCTTCAAAATTGTTTTCCTGAAACTAGACTAATTAACTCTCTTCCCATAAAAATTTTTGGGTGCACAGTTTTTATTACCAATCCTGACAGAACTGCAAGTAAATTTGACCCTAAGGGAAAAAAATGTGTTTTCTTAGGACTCTCTTCAACTCAGAAAGGCTATAAATGTTTTGACCCTATAACAAAAAAGATGTTTATAACTATGAACACTGTTTTTGTAGAAGATCAACCTTTTTTTGGTACTCATCTTCAGGGGGAGATTCCTAATGAAGATGGTAATAATGTATCACATATCCTTGAAAAACTAGAACCTCTTGACATTAATCTAGATGCACAGTATAATAGACAGTTAGATGCACTAGAAAATAGTCAAGAGTCAAAAGAAAATGAAAAACTTTTTTCTGAAACAAGGAAAGATGATGAACAGCAGATAAGTAAGTTTTTTGGCAAGGTTTATGAAAGGAAAGTTCCAAATCACAGAATAGAGGACATCCCTGATCCTGCCACTGTCAATGAATCTGACTCAATGCCAGAAAATGACAAAGGTAATAATTTCAGTGATCTAAATCTACCCATTGCTCTCAGAAAAGAAAAAAGGTCATGTGTTAAATACCCTATCTCAAACTATCTGTCCTATTCTCAGTTATCTACATCATTTGCAGCTTTTACCTCAAGCCTTTCCAGTCTCTATTCCCTTAACCATACAGGAAGCCCTATCTATACCTGAGTGGAAGAAGGCTGTTTTAGAAGAAATGAATGCCCATGAAAAGAATCAGACATGGCAGACTGTAGAGGTACCCAAAAATAAACCAAGGGTTGGATGCAAATGGGTGTTTACTCCTAAATTCAAGGCAGATGGTACACTTGAAAGATATAAGGCCAGACTGGTTGCCAAAGGATACACACAAACCTATGGCATAGATTATACAGAAACTTTTGCACCAGTTGCAAAATTAAATACTATAAGGATTCTACTATCTCTAGCTTCCAACCTAGACTGGCCTCTTCAACAGTTAGATGTGAAGAATGCTTTCCTAAATGGGAAGCTTGAAGAGGAAGTATACATGAGCCCTCCTCCTGGGTTTGAGGAACAATATGGCTCAAAGGTGTGCAAGCTAGAGAAAGCCTTATATGGGCTTAAACAGTCCCCAAGGGCTTGGTTTGAAAGGTTTACTCAGTTCATAAAGAAGCAGGGATTCAAACAAGCCCAAGCAGATCATACACTATTCATGAAATTCTCCATTAAGGGAGAAATTGCAGTACTAATTGTTTATGTGGATGATATAATTCTTACAGGAAACTATTGTGAAGAGATTGAAGACCTGAAGAAGAAGCTTGCTCAGGAATTTGAAATCAAAGACCTGGGAGAATTGAAGTATTTTCTTGGCATGGAGATAGCCAGATCAAAGAAGGGAATTGTGGTATCCCAAAGGAAGTATGTACTAGACCTACTTCATGAAACAGGTATGAGTGCATGCAGACCAATAGATACTCCAATTGACCCTAATCAGAAGTTAGGAAATGTCAAGGAAGGAGTACCAGTTAATATTCACCAATATCAAAGATTGGTGGGAAGGTTGATTTATCTGGCACATACAAGGCCAGATATTGCCTTTGCAGTCAGTATGGTTAGTCAGTTCATGCATAATCCATTCCAAGAACATCTAGATGCTACCTACAGGATCCTAAGATATTTGAAAAGTTGTCCAGGGAAAGGATTATTTTTTAAAAGAAGTGACAATAGAAGTGTAGAAGCCTTTACAGATGCAGATTATGCTGGGTCAATAACTGATAGAAGGTCTACATCTGGATATTGTACTTATGTATGGGGGAATCTGGTGACTTGGAGGAGTAAGAAGAAGAATGTTGTTGCCAGAAGTAGTGCAGAATCTGAATTTAGATCTATGGCTAATGGAATCTGTGAGCTACTTTGGATCAAGAGAATGATGACAGAGTTGAATATGGAAATGAACCTACCTATGAAATTATATTGTGACAATAAAGCAGCCATTAATATTGCTCACAATCCTGTGCTACATGATCGTACTAAACACATTGAGGTGGACATGCATTTTATCAAAGAGAAGATTGAAGCTGGAATTGTATGCACACCATTCATATCTACTAAAGAGAAGACAGCTGATATCTTTACAAAGGGGCTGTTTAAACCAGTGTTTGAGTTTCTTATAAGCAAGTTGGGAATGTATGATATATACTTACCAACTTGAGGGGGAGTGTAGAAAAATGTAGCATATTCATGTTATTTTATTATGTGTACATCCGGGACTGTATAGATAGGAAGTAGAGTTGATTTAGGACTCTAACTCTTAGATTAACACGCAGTGTAGATAAGAATAGATAGATCCTAAATATTAGGATCTGTAACAAACCTTAGCTTATCTGTAATTTTGTATTTATATCATTGCCGGATGGCTCAATAATACATGGAAGATTAATTCTTCAAACCTACACTACAAATCATGAGTTTTTTCTAGTTAGGCTCGATGTCTACCTTTTTTAAAATATTACATTTAAAAGCAGTTGTGAAAGAATAATGGTAGTTATGCCTGGTCTCTACCAACTTTTTCCAAAGCCTATCACATCTTAAGATAAATGGTACTTCATTGAATTTTTGAAGTTAGTATAAAAATCCCTAGAACCTCCTTCCAAACAACTTTACAACTCTTTCCTAATCTCGGAATTTCACTCATATTTACTAAAAAATCTAGATGGCCAAGCATCTGGAGAATCAGAAATCAGATTTTATATAAAAATTTGTTAAGTTTATTGTCTAATTTATTTTCACTGCGTAAAATTGATTGCTTTGCGGTGTGTTTTGAATTAATTTCGGATTATGTTTGGGTTTATATAGGTCGCAGAAGCGTACGATGAAGCTCCGAGCATTGTTAAATTGGATTTAGGAGTGGGCATTATCGAGCTAAGTTTGATTATTTGGCAGTGTGTTTAAACTCATCTCGGATTGTCTTAGTTTGGTTTTAATTGTTTCAAACTGGGAGATCTTTTACTTTTAAGCTGAAAACTCCTAAACAACACTGATTATACTCCGTTTCTTGTGAATCTTGAGTGTCTTTTCAGTTAAGTTATATTATGCCTACCTTTTTTAAATTTTACATTTAAAAGCAGTGAAGAAAGAATAATAATTTAAAACTAATTTCTTAATTCATACTTTTGGGAGGCCAGTTGTATATTTTTTGGGAAGGCAATCCAAACTTGAGACAAATGGTAGTTGATTAAACTCTTTGTGTTAATACCTGAGAACTTTCTTCCGAACAACTTAAACAACTATTTACTAGTCTGCGAAATTCACTCATATATACTCGACAATCTAGATGGGCTAGCGTGTAGAGAACATGAAATCAGTTTATATATAAAAGTTTGTAAAGTTTATTGTTTGATTTATTTTCACAGCACAAGTTTGATTGTTTGGTGCTAAGTTGAAAATTGTTTAAGATTGTGCTTTTGTTTATACAGGTCGCATATGCATATGACGAAGGTTCGAGCACTATGAAGTTGCATTTAGGAGTGGGTGTTATCATGCTTAGGTTAGTGTTGTGGTTTTCATTTTAGTGAAGAAATGATAAGTTTGATAAATTGGTGGTGCGTTTAAAATCATCTCAGATTGGCCTTGTTTGGTTTTCATTCTACGACAGGCTAACGTTGAGAGAGTTTTAAATCAGTTTATACACAATTTTTTTCAGTACTGTTTGATTTATTTTCCCAGTCATGTTTTTAAACAAACCAGTTCGGGGTTTGTTTGGCTTTACACACTGGTCACACACAAGAAGCGTAGCATAAAGCTACGAGGAAATTGAAGTTGGTTTTTAAAAAGAGCATGTAACACATCGGAGTATATATAACACTTTGGTTGGTCTAGCAACAAACAATACAACACAGAAGAATAAGGACTTCAACCTGCAACTAATTACAAAAGTAGTTTAACAAAAACTAATCATTCCTTTAACTTTATCGATAGAATAACCCTCCTGCTTGTAGTAATACTACCTCACTTCGAAAAAACTATCCCTATTAACTTTAGGATTCTTAATATCTAGTTTCCTTATGAATTCTGTTTGGAATAATGTACAAATTTTAGTTAAAAACAATAAATTACAGGGATGATATAACTATTCATCAAACAAGCTTAAACTCAGAATATAAAAAAAAACTAACACTTGCAATAAAAGCTTTCATGTCAATTACTACTAAAATAAAATTAAAAATCGCAACACTTACTTAGTCTGACAATCACCCACGCCGCCAACCAACTTCAATTTCCTCGAAGCTTGATGCTACGCTTCTTGTGTGTGACCAGTGTGTAAACCCAAACAAACCCCGAACTGGTTTTTTTAAAAACTTAACAGGGAAAATAAATCAAACAGTATACTTAAAAAAATTCTGCATAAACCAAACAAGGCCAATCTGAGATGATTTTAAACGCACCGCCAATTAATCAAACTTATCATTTCTTCACTAAAATGAAAACCACAACTTTAACCTAAGCATGATAACACCCACTCCTAAATGCAACTTCTTAGTGCTCGAACCTTCGTCATATGCATATGCGACCTGTATAAACAAAAGCACAATCTTAAACAATTTTAAACTTAGCACCAAACAATCAAACTTGCGCTGTGAAAATAAATCAAACAATAATCTTTACAAACTTTTATATATAAACTGATTTCATGTTCTCTACATGCTAGTTCATCTACATTGTCGAGTATATATAAGTGAATTTCGGAGACTAGTAAATAGTTGTTTAAGTTGTTCAGAAGAAAGTTAATCAACTGCCATTTGTCTCAAGTTTTGGTGGCCTTCGCAAAAATATAAAACTGCCCTCCAAAAAGTATGAGTTAAGAAATTAGTTTCAAAATACTGTTCTTTCTTCACTGCTTTTATATGTAAAATTTAAAAAAGGTAGGCATAATATAGCTTAACTGAAAAGAAACTCACGATTCACAATAAACGAAGTATAATCAGTGTTGTTTGGGAGTTTTCAGCTTAAAAGTAAAAGTGCTCCCAGTTTCAAACAATTAAAACCAAACTACGCCAATCCGAGATGAGTTTAATCACACTGCCTAATAATCAAACTTAGCTCGATAATGCCCACTTCTAAATCCAGTTTAACAATGCTCGGAGCTTCATCGTACGCGTCTGCGACCTATATAAACCCAAACACAATCCGAAATTAATTTAAAACACACCGCAAAGCAATCAAACTTACGCAGTGAAAATAAATTAGAAATAAACTTAACAAATTTTTATATAAAATCTTATTTCTGATCCTCCAGATGCGTCTGCGACCTATATAAACCCAAACACAATCCGAAATTAATTTAAAACACACCGCAAAGCAATCAAACTTACGCAGTGAAAATAAATTAGAAATAAACTTAACAAATTTTTATATAAAATCTTATTTCTGATCCTCCAGATGCTTGGCCATCTAGATTTATGAGTAAATATGAGTGAAATTCCGAGACTAGGAAAGAGTTGTAAAGTTCTTTGGAAGGAGGTTCTCGGGATCTTTATACTAACTTCAAGAAATCAATTAACTACCAGTTATCATAAGATTTGATGGGCTTTGGAAAAAGTTGGTAGAGA